GAGTAGCTGGGATCACAGGCAGGCACCACCATGTCCAGCTAATTTTTGTATTTTTAGTAGAGACAGAGTTTCATTATGTTGGCCAGGCTGGTCTCGAATTCCTGACCTCGTGATCTGCCCACATCAGCTCCCCAAAGTGCTGGCATTACAGGCATGAGCCACCACGCCCGGCCACCTATTATTATGCTCATTATGTGGGTGATGAAATAATCTGTACACTAAACCCCATGACACATGATTTACCCATGTAACAAAACTGCACATATACCCACAAACCTAAAATAAATGTTGGAAAGAAAAAGAAAACTGCCACCAGTTAAAAAAAAAAAAATCACATGCTGTATATATGCCACAGTTTCCTTATTCATTTGAATGAATCCTGCCATTTTCCATGACATGGATGGACCTGGGTGACATTATGTTAAGTGAAATAACCTAAATACAGAAAGAAATATATTGCATGATCTCACTTATACATGGAATCTTTAAGAAAGGGTCAAATATATAGAGCATGCAACAGTGGCTGCCAGGGTCAGAGTGGGAGAGGAAAGAGGATGGAGAAGGTCAAAGTATACAAAGCAGCAGATATGTATGATAAACCAGTTTGCAGATCAAACATACAAAGTGAGGAAGATAGTTATTAATAGTGTACTGTATTAGGACTTTTGCTAAATGAGAAGATTGTAGTTCTTCTTGCTACAGGGCAGAAAAATGGGTAACTGAAATCATAGAAATGTCAATTTGTTTCATCATCATGGCCATTTACTACATGTATGTATCCTATAAGAGATATCATGTGATATATCTTAAATATACACAATAACATTTATTTATTTATTTGGATATAGGGTCTTACTCTGTCACCCAGGCTAGAGTGCAGTGGTGCAATCTCAGCTCACTGTATCCTCAACCTCCTGAGATCAGGTGATCCTCTTACCTTAGCCTTCCGAGTATAGTCTTCTGAGACTATAGGTGCATGCCACCATGTCTGGCTAAATTTTGTTTGTTTGTTTGTTTTGGTCAGGACAGGGCTTTGCCATGTTACCCAGGTTGGCCTTGAACTCCTGGGCTCCAGCAATCTGCCTGCATGGGCCTCTCAAAGTGCTGGGATTATAGGCATAAGCCACCGTGCCCAGCCCCAATCAAATTTATTTTAAAAAAGAGTCATATAATGAGGATTGTTCTTCAAGGTGATTATAACCAATTTTTACTTTTTTTTCAGCTATGTAAAGGATGTTCTATTTCCCCACATCCTCCATAAGGTCAGTGTTACCCAGACTTTCTGATTTTGCAAATCTGGTACATGTGAAATGGATCTCATTGCTTTTTAAATATTAAATTTCTTAAATGGAAGAGATTATTTATGAAGCATTCTTTGAACTTGAGGCCTTGTTAATAAATCAACTTCTCTTCCTACACCCCGCCTGTCATTTTGGCTAAGCCATGAGGCATGTGCTGTCCAGAATGGCAACATTCACAAATAGGGATGAAAGATGGTATGAGGTGCAGGTAATTCTTACCAGCAGGAAGAGGAAGGAGAAGCGTTTCTTGTAGAGATTAGAGGGGAGAGAGCAGAGAGGACAAAGTCTCCTCCACTCTGCTATCCCCCAGTCGCCAATGGCATGGGGTCACCTGAGGTGAGCCTATTTAATATCCAATAAAACATACTGTTTTTTTTCCCTGCACATATGATTTGCTCTGTGTAAAAATGGTAACCCATATCCCCAACATCGACATACCTGAGTTCCATCTGCTAAGCCTTTAACAGAGTGTCAGGTGCTATGCCAACTAACACTTCATCTGTACTGTTTATCCAAGCTGTCATATAAGAAGTGGGACAACGGGATTTTTTTCCTGCTTTTACATATGAGGAATCTGAAATATGGGAGGTAAAGGAACTTGCCCAAAGCCACGCTGGTAGTAAATAATGGAGTTGCTATTCTGATCCAGAGGTGATTAACTGCAGACCGGCACCCCTGACCACTGAATGACCCACAAGCTAACTGAAGTGCCGGTTGGCAGCATATGGTGGAATACATTTGAAAACTGTTTCCAGACTTTGTGGTCAGAATAGTTCATGGGACCTTGAGCAGGAAGAAGTTGTACATTTTGGCAGTTGATTCTATCTTGATTGCCTTGGATGAAAATAATCACTCCAAATAGAAGCAGGCAATGATTCAGGAAGACTTCCAGGATATGGTAGATTCCGTCATCAGGTGAAAGAGTTAACTAAAGGATGATCGAGGATAGTCATTAAGAACTTGGGCTCTGGCACCAGTTAGACAAAGTTTTGAGTCCTGAGCTATGGTTTTTTTTTTTAATAACCTTAGACAAGCCACTCATCTTCTCTAAGCTCTTTTATGATCTGTAAAAAGTGGATAATTATATATGCTATATACAAACATACATACTTGTGAATTAAATGAGACACTGTAAGTAAAGTCTTTTTTGCAGTACCAGGTATACAGTAAGTGCTACATAATGGGAGCTTTTACATAATGAGATGGTAGCTGGGAGGGCAGTATACAACAACCACGGAGTAGTACCTAAGAAAATTGCTGCTGACTTTTTCGATGTGACATCACCATGAGGAAAGTTTGATAAGTAGTCAATGGACATACAGCTGTGCACTTTTGAACAAAGATCTGTCATATTGGCAGCGTTTCATCTCAAATACACATCCACATCTGCACACCTAGGTATTGAGTTCAGTTGCCATGCCCATGCGGCTTACTTCGGAAGGAGGAGCTGAGGCAGTTTCTTTAATATTATTGCCGAGGGAATGTCTCTAAGGACACCTGTTTTCTTTTATGTTGGCTTCAGAAAAACTTGTGAGGTCAGTACCTCTTTGGCTATTTTGAAGGTCTGCTCTTTGGAGTGACATGTTCTCAAGGCTTCTAAAGGTGATTTTTAGAAAGTGATGTGAAGAAGGAAACCAGCGTTCCAACTGGGCCAAGTCTCACAATTTCCTCCTGGGTGGAGAAGCATATGATTTCTAAATGGGGAAAAGAAATATGATGCTTTGTAGTGAGCTGTTCTTTGTTTAAGATAATGGGACTCTTGACCTGCCATGTTGGTTGCTTAATTTTATCATTGTTGGGTTGGATCAGTAGTGAGCCTCCTACCTTAACACTTACAAGGTAGATGTTGGGATGATGGTATTTTGCTGCCTGTCTGGGGAATCACCCTTCATCCGTTTGCTTCATTTTTCCTGGTATATAACTGTAGAGCTAAGCTAACCAACAGAACTGACTGGCCATGGCATGTGGCATGTGTTTTATTGCTGTGTGTGTGTGTGTGTGTGTGTGTGTATTTCCATAAAATAGCAATTTCTCCATTCAGTCCCTAAGAATTAAAATCTCAAGCACAAGAGGACCAGAGGCAGGGAGAAAGAAGTGGCACTGAAAGAAGAGCACAAGGGAGTGAAGAATACTGTCAGAAGAGATGACTATTTTTATTCTGTCTGCCTGGACAGAGAGCTCTCATGATACATTGACTCTGAGAGAGCAGGTGAGACCCGGTGCTCAGATGAGACATGAACGGTGAGGCAGCCACCCACCCGAAAGGTCAAATGCTCATTGTCCTCCTGTCTCAGAGAGCCTGACATGGACTGCAGAGCTCCCTCGTTTTCTTTCTTTCCATCAAACTGCTTTTATACAAGAGCCATTAGCCCCAGCTCTTCCCGTCCTAGAAGGGACAGGATTAGAGTGGGCTGGGTGGTTACAGGTACACTTGGAAATGGCAGCTTTTGTCAGTCTGTTGCCCTTGAAAAGTAAGCATCAGATAGAAGGGCAAAGCCCTAAACACTGCCATCGATAAGAGTAAGGGAATATAGCATCCTTTATTGAGGACTAAAAGAGTACGAGTGTTGCCTCTTCCTCTAGCTACACATTTTTTCTTCTCTCTTATTAATCTTATCGAGGAGTAAAGGTCAACCCAGAGCTTCTGTCTGAGCTGACTTTTGTTACAATAATTATGCCTCATCCTACACGTTCCTGTGTCTTTTCTTCTTCCTAAGCAGCTCCTCTTGAGCACTTGGTACATTTAAAACTTGACCCCAAACTTTCCTTTCTTTCCCTCACAAACAGGACTTCTAAACCTAAGGGAATTTTTTCTCTCTCCTCCCAGCCTAACTGGTGCCTACTTTGCAGACGTCAGCTGGTCCAGTTTTTGCCCAAGTCCTGTGACTGAACATTAAACCCAGCATTGTCTGTGGGTCCAGAGTAATTTGATTTTTAAAGGAACAGGGACAATGTGCTGTAATTTGTGTGGTCTGTCGCCTATGAAAGGTTGTGAAGGCTTATGATGGTTCTTTTTAAATTGTAACTTAAACGACTGAAATAAATTGCTTTAACAAATGGCCTTGTGAAGCACTGCTGTTGTCAAACTAAATTTCCTTCTCTCGGGGGAATCCATAGAAGAAGATACAAGTAAAGGTGAATGCAGTTGAGTCTTAGGCCCATTCCCAAAGGCAATTCTAAGCCCCCAGATATTTCCCAGAAATTGTGGCCATTAAATCTAAGAAATGGGGAAAGTAGTCTCAATATGAGAGACTCAGAGGCCTTCAGTCAGGTTTGTCTTTGGGCAAGTTCTGAAGCATGTGAGGCATTGTTGAACTGTAAGAAACTATTTTGCTGGAGATCACAGAATTTGGCCTTTATCTCTTGGGAATATCACAGTAAGTTGTTCACTGTAGCTGTTTAACAAACGTAAGGGAACCACAGAAATTAAGCCCCTTCTGCAGATTATTACATGCTGAAGTTAAATGCTATGTAGAGGCTCATGAGGGGATGAGCCTCACCCCACCTTCAGAATTTCTTTGCTCTAATCTTAGTAATCATCCTTCACCCAGAAATCCTTCTCCCACACCCAGGATCATCCATGTTACATGTTGAAACTTGTTTTTCAAACATCTCTTCTTGGAATGATGTATTAGTTAGATCTGCTGTTTAACACATAACTCTAAAACATAGTGGCTTAAGAAGTAACCATTTATTTACCTTATAATTCTGTTGGTTAGAAACGTGAGCTGGGTTCAGCTAATTGGCTCTTCTAGTCTGCACTGGATTTATTTATTCATCTTCAGTCTTCTGCCAGGCAGTTTTGCAGCTGGGTGGTTTGGTTGGCTTCAGTGGAGATAGCTTATCTCTGTTCCATATGAAGAGTCATCCAACACCTGGTGAGCCCAGACTTGTTCCTATGGCCACTGGGCAAGATTTTGAGGGAGTGCAGATGTGGAAGTTGCAAGGTTTCTTAAGGCCCATGCTCAGAAACTCACACACATCCTCTATTGCCACATTCTGTTAAGCAAGCAAGCCCCAAGGCCCATCCTGATTGGAGGGTTGAAGAAATAAACCCCAACTCTTTGTGAGAGAATCTACATAGTCACATCGTTAGTGATTTAAATACCAGGAGGGGCATGAATGAGACCATTTTTGTTTTTGAAACAGTGATGGCTATATATGTAGGTGTTTTTTGTTTTTGGCCTGGAAGAGACTTTTGCTCACTTGGGATAGCTTTTTAAGCCAATGGAGGCTTATTATCTAAATGACTGAGGAAAACACTAGACTGCATTTTTAAGGAGTTTCAAAAGGTAGGCCTATAGTTTAACAGTCTCTATGGGACTGAAGTGCCTTCTTTGCCTCTAATTACCAATGCCAAGCTCAACACAAGTGCTTGCTGGGGGTGTGTTCTTACGGTGTTCTCTTTAGTTCCCACCTCACACTAACATCACCTCTGCTGCTAGGTTTTCTGTTAGCCCCAAACTAATATTAAAAACTATTGCCAAAGGACAGCACACCCACATCTCTATTATCTAATTACATTTGTTTTGCTTTCTCTATGGGGTTTCCTAATCACTTGCTCTGCTGGTATTTTCATATTCATTCCATTTGTACTTACTGTACATGCAGCTATTACCCAAGGAATGGAGCTATCTCTATGGCTGGGGAGGTTTGAGTGAGTGAAATGTAGGCTCACACTGCTTTTTTTTTTTTTGGATCAGCCTGCTTGAGGAGCTGCCTAGTGCCTGCGTGGGAGAAGATGTAGGAAAGTGCTGTGACTACGCCGATTGTCCGAAGTCAGGATTTCTTATGGAAAACACCTTAAAAATCTTTCCCTGAATGTCACATCACATACATCTGAGTTCAATGCAAATGTCAAGACAAATCTAAGAGTTGCTTTCTTTTTCTGATTACTTACTTTTTTCAACTTCCCCCATTTGCTTTCCTTCCTTACGTGAATAATCGAGAGTTGGCAGCATAATGCATGCATGGTGCCTTATTTACGTTTTTTTTTAAGAGAGCCTGTTGCATGCTTCATTGTGCTTTATGAAACTCTAATCAATTCAGATTATAAATCTTCTCTTCTCCTTTTTGGAAGCAGCTTCCTACAGGACCCAAAATGTAGTAAATATTAAAATGGCAATGCTTTAAAATTATACTGTGGGACTGAAGAGTTAATCTTCTGTTAATAAGGGCCTCCTAGGAGATAGGCACTGCCTAGGCACATTAAATGCATGAATACAAAAATAAACAATTCTCACTGTGACCCTTCAAGCTGAGTTTGGTGGTCCTTGTTTCACTTATGAGGTAACTAAGGCTCTTAGCAGTTAATTAACTTACTTAGAAGAGCACAGGGTCACTGTCCCTAAACCAGAATGGGAACTAAGGTCAGCCTGACTCCAGAGCCAGTTCTTTCTCTGCTACAGTAGAATTCTTAATATGATAATGGTCTTTGACTGCTGAGTCACTGCCACCATCATTTTGTAGGAATGCACTTACTTTTTCCTGGAAGAAGCAGGGCGATTATCCCCTCCTCTCCTCATCTTTATGATTTCATGACATAGCTACAAGATGGAAATCATCTTTTAAAAACTCACGTAGGATTGGAATGGTAGACATCGCACAAACCCAGGGGAAATGCACTGACAAAGTGGGGGACATGAGGTGGGTGGAGAGATTCAGAAAAAAAGCTTCTCTGCCAATCTTGAAAGGGTGCAGTTTGAAAATTACGTATATTAAAACTGAATGCTAAATTGAAGAATATACAATATTAAAAGGTTGGCCAGTGTCCGTGTCTTTTAAAAACTTGCAGATGTAGACTGTGGCTGGACTGACAATCTCTTCTCTCTTGACCCAGAATTGGGTCTGGATGATCTTGCAACTCCTTGGTGATTTTATCAAATAAAGGCATCAGGTCAGACTCTACTTTTCTTTTCCTAACACATCTCTTTATTATTATTATTGTTATTGTGAGTTGAAATCAGTTACATACATCATAGCTGCTCCTGTGAATCAGATGATCAGTTGTATGTAGGCAGTCCCGCCTCTCTCTGCATGTTGATGCTTCTAGAAGGGCCTTTGCTCCAGAGCAAGGTACTTCTCTCCATTAGCTTGGTTCTAGCTGAAAATCATAGGTTTTACTTTAAAGCTGTTTGGTTCCGGAACAGTATTTCTAAAGGGTGTTCCAGAACAGCATTTCTCAAGTCTGGGAAACTGTTGGAAATTAACAACATGCACTAGCATATGAAAGGCTCATAGAAGTGTTGTTTAATGCACCTGCTAAACTGTTTAATTCTGGGTAGAAATCAAAAGTTCCATTTTGGACCTGTCATGTTTGAGTTGTATATTATGTATTTGGAGTGGAGATATCCAGGGAGCAACTGGATCTATGAGTCTGGCATTTAGGGGAGAGATAAAAACTAGAGAGAAATGTTAGAAAATTATCACCATATAGATGTTTTCAAGTGCACTGGGACTCTCCCTGTTATAAACTGAAAGGAGAAGAGGGCCCAGTCTGGAGCCTGGAACATTCTAGGGAACACATGGCTTCAAGGTGTAATAAAGTCACATTAAATAGCATGGAAAACTTACACACACGAGATGTATTAATTATACCGTTAAAACTTAAAAGCTGACCTAGATTATATTAATTTATATAAAATTATGGGAAGTATTCAGTGCTTTTAAATTTAACTTTGGGCCTAATAATTTCAAAACAGTGACAGCTTTGCTGAAAATGATGTCTTAGATTAAAGGATTTTTCTGCTTCTGATAAACTCTCTTCTCAATAGTCCATAAGAGAGAATAGACAAACTTCTTGTATTTACAGGTCCTGCTGCTTATGCTCCCTGTGGAGTCTCCTGAATTTTAGGTATGGATGAATAGCTTTGGCTTCAGAGTTGTGAGGAAGATACAAAAAGGTAGAAGAAAGAAATAAAAATTCAAGCTGAAATGAGCAAGGGGACACATTCATGGTTATACATACAAATGTAGAGGAAGTAGTGGGGAAAGGTAATAATTAATACATGCATCACTGAAGGAAGAACTGTAAAAATATTTTCACCAGGACCTGCATTCAATGAGGGACAATTAAATTATAAGGAGCATCATGAAATCGTATATTTTCCCTGACTTTTAAAAAGTAATTTTTAAGGTGATAATATAGAATATTGGAAAAATGTCCCCAAAAGATATATGATATGGTTTGGCTGTGTCCCCACCCAAATCTAATCATGAATTGTAACTCCCACAATTCCCACATGTCATGGGAGAGACCTGATGGGAGGTAACTGAGTTAGGGGGGTGGGTCTTTTCTGCACTGTTGTCATGATGGTGAATAAGTCTCATGAGATCTGATGGCTTTATAAAGGGCGGTTCCCCTGCACACGCTCTCTTGCCTGCTGCCATGTAAGATGTGACTGCTCCTTATTTGCCTTTCCCCATGATTGTGAGGCCTCCTCAGCCTTGTGGAACTGTGAGTCAATTAAACCTCTTTCCTTTGTAAATTACTCAGTTTTGGGGGTGTTTTTAATAGCAGCATGAGAATGGACTAATACAATATGAGTAGGCTCTTAGTTCTCTTTTCTACTTTCCACATTATTTTTCACATCATTTCTCCCAGATTCCCAGGCTCTTATCCTGCCTGATCATCTCTGTTGAAGAAAACTATCCTGAAAACCAATTTACACTGAATATACCGTAGTCCCTCCTTATCCACAGTTTTGCCTTTTGAGGTGTCAGTTACCCATGATCCACCATGGTCTGACAGTATTAAATGAAAAATTCCAGAAATAAACAATCAGTACATTTTAAAGTGTGTGGCATTATGGGCAACATGATGAAATCTCACCCAGTCCTGCTGCTCCACCCAGGATGTCAATCATCCTCTTGTCCAGCACATTCACACTGCCTATGCTCCCCACCCTTTCCTCAATGAGTAGCCAGCTCGGTTATCAGATCGACTGTCATGGTATTGCAGCGCTTGTGTTTGTCATCCTTATTTGATTTCATAATGGCCCCAAAGAGCAAGAGTAGTGATGCTGACATATTGTTATAATTGTTACATTTTATTATTGTTGTTGTTAATCTTTTAGTGTGCCTCATTTATAATTAAACTTCATCATGGGTGTGTATGGATAGAAAAATATCCCAGTATATATGGGATTTGGTACTATCCCTGGTTTCAGGCATCCACTGGGGGTTTCCAAACATATGTACCATAGAGAAGGGAGGCCTACTGTACTATTCATTCATTTATCAATTGACTGCTGATTAATTTACTCATTTAGCAAATACTATTGAGCACTTACTATGTCCTAGGCACTGTTCTAGTTTCAAGACTCCAGCTGTGGACAAAATTCTATATATAAAATGTCTGTTTTCATGGAATTTACATTCAAGTTGGAAAGGAAGCAAAATAAATAAATGTAGAAATAAGGGACATGTGTCAGGTGATGGTAATGCTATGAAAAAAAAAATAAACCTGGAGAAAGGAGGGATGGTGGTGGGTTGAAATTCCAGTAGGGCCATCATGGAAGGAATTGCTGACATTTGAGCATAGATCAGAGAAGAAAGTAAAGAGGACAGCTGTGCAGATATCTGAGGGAATGTATCTATAATCTTTGTTGGAGTAGCAGGTAGAAAAAAATGTTCAACTCAAAGAAATAAAATGTTAATAACGGCATTTCAGATGACATAGCTGACTTTCTATGACTAGAAAGACAATTTTGTTGCAAAGACCTTCTCGGAGTCCTATGTATCATGCCGTGGAAGTCACTGACAACACTACCAGTGGGAAAGGCCAATCCAGGGTAGAAGTTTTGAATCATTACTTACAAAGATGAAGACTCTGCTCTCTGGCAGATGACAGCCAATAAATGGATCTGTTGTAAAAAGTCAAAGGCTCCCAGGAGCATAATAGGAT